GGGGGGGGGGGGGATGCTCAAAGCTCAGAGGCTCGGACCCCAGTCTTAGATTCTAAGGTCACCACGAGACACCGTCGGTTTGTTCCGTATCGCAAGAATTTTCCATCTGGGCACTCGTTTCGCAACGAGATATCGAACCAAAGCGTGGAAAACATCAAAGTATCGGCCTTCACAAACACAAGCATCAACCACCCCAAAAAATAACTCATTAATGCATTGCACAAAATAGCTCAATGCATCCATGCATTCAGCTGCAAGATAGCTCAACAAACGGTAAGGGTCACACGCTCTTCCCTTGACCTTAACAACTGATCTGATCGTACACATAGAAATTCGCATATTTCGGCGCAAAACACAAATATTTATTTTTCCATGCGCGTGCTGCTTTGGGTGTGTCGTGATCGCTCACACAGACACAGAAAGGGCAGGGCTACTGATGGCCTAGACCTTGCTTCGGACTGTGTTACGTACGGCGTGTCGGCAGTCGCGTACTGTACCTTCAACTGCGTGTTGCGAATTGCCATGCGGGCCAGAGCATCTTGGGATACGTCGCGTCCGTTGTTGGCTGCATCGCGCTCTCGGGCCATGGCCTCCATCTCATCCAGTCGAGACTCGGCCTCATTCCTGCAAGTTTGATCGTAAAAGGAAACAACGTGAAGTCAACCTAGGGGTGACGATTGACTCCATGACGAGAACCGGTGCCTGGGGTATCGCCTTCATTAGCCCCACGAGAGACAAAACAAGCTACTCTTCCACTGGAGGCCACTACAGGGGGAATATCGCATAGTACAACAATAGGAACAGAAGCCTTACGAAATCAAGCTGATCTACCGCCACCAAGATTGGTCATGGCACCTCATGACGTATCGAAAAATACCACGCATGTTGAATCTTTGAATACGAAAAGCGTCCACGAGCTAAACAAAGTGAAAAAAAGTGGATCAAATCAAACCACACGAAACGTGCTGTTCCGTGAAGCGTGGAGCCGAGATAGAGAGAGAGAGAATTTTCGGGACCTGACCAAGCCGTAAGGACTTCGGGACGTGCACCGGCCGACTTGAAGGACAATTCAGAACCCAGCACGTTTCACCGACTATCCACGCGACATGCTTGAAGTCATCATACACTCCGTGCACTCCAAATACACTTGCATGCCATTATCTTCTTCACGGTCTTTCCCATTCCGTGAGAGCGTTTTTCATGTTGGCTGTGAAGGTACCATACAACGTTGAGACGTTGAGATAGGTCGACTACCGTAAATGACGCAAGATAACACCCCCCCTTGACCGATTTTCAAATCTCGATTTCCCAACAGCAGAAAGAGTCAGCCGAAAACGGTGGCGTTGAAACTGCCTGGTCGAGAGCTTTGCCAAAATGTATTGTTTCATGTATGCATTCTCTTCGTCGTGGAGTAATCGAGCTTTGAAAGTTGGCCCAGAGGGTGTGTTATCTTATGTCATGTACGGTAGGTAACTGCAGATTCTCGTTCAATCCTCCATGTGCCTGCCGCCTTATACACCATGAACACGACTAGTTCACGCCAGGCATCAAGTTCTGGAAGACTCGAGATTGACGCAAGACTTTCGCACGTCTGCGGACCATCGACACCTTTCCAGCTTTGTGTCGGCATTCGAAAGACCGAAAAAAGGGGGCAGGGGCAGGAACATCATCCTGTACCTAGATTATCATGCGCGTACGACGATCGGAGGAAAGGGTGAACCCCCCAACCCCAACCCCAACCCCAACCCCAACCTCAACACCGACACCAACACCGGAAAGGTGAGTAGGCCACGTAAATATCGTAGACACCTGAGAGCAGTAGCTTCTTGTTGGAGAACGTGTTCCCTCCGAGAGGCATTCGCGGCAGCCTCCGCCTTCTCTTTCTGGAGGGCCTCCACCTGCCCAAGACAGCACCATGCACGCGAGAAACGGAGCGGGTGGAACGCCAGGTTACATCATCACGGAACTGAGTACAAGGGCTGAAGGAGCGTTGAACCTAAGGTCCTTTTCGGCCATCGCTCACGGCTGCTGGCTGTACGTGCGACTTCTCAAGATCAAGAGGCTTTCCAGCGGAATCAAATCACCACACAAGGAAAACGACACACTCCACTCCAGACAAGTGCAGCGTATATCTCTACCCCACCAGCCTAGCCCTTGTACAGCATGAAATAACCCAGCCAGGCGCTTGGTTGCTACCAATGCCAGATACCAAACCCGACATTGGCAAGCCTATAGAGACATCACCAAGCCATGGAGCGGATTCCTCCCCAGGAGAGAGAATGACAGCGAGAACGCGAGCGTCAGTAGTCTGGAAATGTAATGAAATGGTACAGTGCAGTACAGTGGTCATTGCATCCTTCCGCAGCACATTATCGCGTTCGACGATGAGATTTACATGCTCTATGCAATGAATACTACCATACCAGCGAGGTTTTATCGGCAAACTGACCAGCTTGTTGCGATAACAAGGCGTGCGCATGAAACGAAAGGACCAATCTCGGGACGAGTACGAACACGTGACAACGCCCTAAGTACCTTATGGATGATGGGTGCAAGAGCACGCACGTGCTTGACTTTTTTCTCGGGCGGGGGTGCGACACCACCGGTACCAACGATATCACCGTGACGTGCACTCTCTCGCATCCTTACTACTGCAGGTCGTCTAGCGCTTGCTAACGCACTTAACAGGGGGTTATTCACCTGGCCCCTGAGTTCCGTTGACTTTTGTCCTGCGGTCTCCAGCTTGGCGTTCAAGTCCTTTGCCGCCTCCTCCAGAAGCCTAATCTGCGCCTCGGAACGCTCAAGCCTAGCCTGAGGGCGCCGCGCACAAAAAGAACCAAAAACAGCCACCATTCCCGAAAGAACGAATACGTACATGAAATGAAGTAAGACATTGCGTGATAGCAATCGCCTCTGAACTGTTCATATCCCATGTAAGGGTTGAAGTGCCAACTTGCTACTAGCCTGTGAGGTTAGGGTTAGGGTTAGGGTTAGGGTTAGGGTTAGGGTTAGGGTTAGGGAGCACATCGTGCCAAGGGCAGTGCCTGTCAGAAGTAACCAAACGTGATGGGTACGAGGCAATGCAAGAAACATCATCAGCATCAATGACAACCACATCAACCCAACACCACCGGAGGAAAAAAGTGGACGAGAGGTGCTCAGTCGCAAAACGCCAGATCAGAGGTTTGACGACATGTAATGCAATGTAGCAGACCCGTCGCATCCCTAGGATGACCAACGAATCCAGCTCGGAGTTCTTAAACTCTTCCCGACCATGCACATTCGTCACCAACCCATGCAAACGGCAGTGAATGCGCTACGGTATCTACGATTGTACCCACCCGGTTTGCTCTGTGGGGGGCTTCAGCGCCCTAGACGTAGGTGGCGAGCTAGCTCTTCACAGTTACCACGCAGAAAAAGTACCTAAGAAGCATTGTTCACATGTATGATTTTTGTCATGAATTTCTAGTACGGGGGATATATCTCGGCAAGCTAACTATTAAGGGGAAGTGTATCACCCGTTCAAATGATATTCGGGGGACCTGTCTAGTGCCGTTATGTGCACAGATAATTAACCGGCTCGTAAACAGGTTTCCTCACTGCTGTACCGTGTTGCAGTAGTGCACAACATACGGGTCAGATGTCGGATACGTCAGAGGAGGAGTGACTACCCCTCGCTCTTGTCACTTACCCTCAGTGCGGCGTGTTGCTTGTTGGCCCCCGCGAACTGCTGCTGAGCAAGCGCCTTCATGTCGTTCTTCATCTATCATACAAGCACCAGTGCGAGCACACACACAGAGCGCATGAGACGAGCATGACGTGCTGCCTTGAATCGCGCCGTACACCATGAACATGTATCATCGACACCACCAACGTCAGCTGGGTTTGTACCGCAAAGTGTAGGGTAGGCACATGGGCACATCTCGAACGATTCGATGATCGCCAAAGGCTACATGCACTATGTGACGTGTAGAGCAGGCCTCGGTACGGTAGAAAATCGCTCAACACGGCCCTATCTTAGCACGTACAGTACCTCCACGAAGCAAGCACGTGGGAAAAGGAAAACAGCGTGACTATTGTAGTACTGTACCGTACCGTACTTTACTGTGCTATAAAGATAAAGATGCGCTCGGGTTAGTACAACACAACGCTGATGTCACGGACTTCGATCGTAGCATTATTAGTAGTGCAGGGCCCTCAGTAACACCGGTATGTGCTTGGCGAAACGTCCGGCGCTTTTCAATGTACAGGTACAGAACGACCTCTTGGCGATTCAGTCTGTGCCCAGCAATTTCACCGGCACTACACACGGCGGTCACCCGCGCCGATCAACCGACGCTGTCGACCCCCCCCCCTGTAACCACATGCGAAGTAACGTAACACAGACGAAGAACTTCGAAAGGAGTAGAACCAGACCTTGAGGATACCGGCGGCACGCTTCTCCCGCTCAGAGTCCTCTAGTTTGTTGTACGCCGCTTCCAGTTGTTGGAGCTTGCTCTCCGCTAAGGAACGCGCCCGCCTACCGCCAAACGGTAACAGCGCCGAGGGTAAACGATGCTTATTGATGTTCATGTGCAACAAACCGATTGGTATTGGCAGGTCAACCCAAGCCTAATCCTAAAATGCAGCATAGAACAAATAGCAAATAGTAGTGGTCCCCACATCGTGGTTCCGAATAGCGCGGTGCCCAATATAACATTGCGGTGATAAATAATTGCTTGGCACAACAACCTGCCTACAGGAGTACTACTAAATTTCTAGTCAGGGACCTTCCCCCAATGGCGCGGTGCCCGATGTAACATCGCGGCGACAATTGCTTGGCACAATAACCTGCCTACAGCAGTTCCGCTTAATTTGTATCTAGGAACATTCCCTGAATAGCGGGGGCTCGGTATAACGTGGTGATTGATTTCGGGTCACTGTACACCGTGATACAGCACAGAGCAGGCAGTGCGTCTCACCTTTCGGAATCAGCCGTTTCCGTCATCCGCCGCTTCTCCGCAGCGTGCTCGGCGCGGGTGGTCGCCAGATCGCTCTTCAGCCCCATCAGCTGCAGCACACAAACAAGCAATAGCACAAACGCCCTCGTCAGGCATCGCCAGGCACCCTCCCACTGACAACTTAGTTGGCATGTTGCACCTGGTATCAGTAGCTGAAGACAGTTGTCAAAATCTTGGTGGCGCGAAGGACACCCAGCTAAAACACGCGCTATTGGTTGAGAGTTGAGAGCACGCCACGACAGAAACATTCTTGTCAGCATTGCCAGGCCTTCGCTATCCCACTTCCAAATCATAACCAGTCCAAAATACTGACTTGGTATCAATAGATGAATAGGTGAGAGATGTATCAATATCTCGGTACACCTACCCCGGGCTATCGGTTGACAGTTGAGGGCGATTGGCGGAGAAAATGAACGTACACAGGAATACTGGCGACGAAAAAAAGGCTGTGTCCATCCGCAGCCCGGAATCGATACCTGGGCCTACTGGCAAGCTTCTTGAAAGAAATACTGCGGGAGGGGCAAGGTGATGATTGTCGAAGAGTATTTCATAAGCTCCAGGTTAACCGATTGAACACTCGCGTTCATGGACGAACATGCTTAATCAAGTCGAGATCTATTGCAACGGGCAGAGGGATGTCATAACGCGGGCACCTTCGTTCAAGGCCAGCGGGCCTGTGCTTGTGTCTGTGCTGTGTCCAGTTCTTAATGAAGCAATACGTAGTGATGCACAGCCTCGCAAGCCCGAACATGTTTTCGATGACCAGTGTTGTGGTCAATACACTCATTCTTGGGAGAGAGAACACCAAAGTGATGGCAGTGACACTGTCGACCGAATACCTGTGTTCGCATCCGGGACTCTTGCAACAGACTAGATGCACATCTCGGTGCAAGCCATTAATAACACCAGCCTTCCTGACCAAAAAATAAAACAAGGTGTACACAAACATTAAAGAAGGCATGAGACTCTACACTACTTTGCTCAATACCTGTGCGGTGACGGCGTCCAGCAATGCCTCCTTCTCCAGCAGCATCTTTCCGCTATGCTTAGCCTCGGCGGCAGCTTCGCCGTAGCGTTCGGAGAGCATGGCGATCTCGCGCTCGAGAGCCTCCGCGTCCCTCGCGGCGCTGAAAAAAAGAAGCAAACAAAACCATTGTGAAGCAGGCAACAAATAAGCGCTTACAAGGTTCTCTTCCTCTGAGTGGATCATTTGATGTGAGCATTGTTATGGCGAGGCCGTCTGTGGCTGCCGGTGGCCTCGCCAAACCGTCGTAGTAAACCGGTTCCTATTGTGACCATCGGTTCAGGTCCGCATTGAATTGAAGCTCACCCAAAACTTACGTTACCCTTTCCCATCGGCATGCACGCCGAGCAAGTATAAGCCGCAACGTGAGTAGTCTCCAAACAACGCTATACATCCAAAATATCGTCAGCATGCTGCATGTGGTCAGGCTGAGCCACTGGAGCGGCAACGTTTGTCAGCTGCCGTACGATAGCACCTTTCACACCCTTCCACAACCAACGGGGTGCGAAAAAGAGTCCGATATGTCTTGGGAAAGTTCTGGACGAGATACTGTACTGTAGATGTTTCCAGAACCACCATTGTTTCCGTTGGCGTTGGCGTTGGCGGTGTGGAGCAATCGAGCTTTGACAATCGGCCTGGGGGGGGTGGTGCCATATCTGCGCCTCCTACGGTAATCTAGCAACCTGCGTCTCGGCTTCGTTGCCATCCGATTCTCACATCTTTGCGCGGTTGCCGTCCGAGCTTGACTGCTGGAGCTTGTCCGCGGCGGCCTGCAGGTCGGCGTCGTGCGTCGCCTTGAGTGCACTCACCGTCTTCTCGAAAGCCGCCTGCTCTTCTGCCAACCTTCCCTCAACGTAGGCGCGGCACCACAATCGAATCGAATCGAATCGAATCGAACCGAACCGAACCGAAGGATGAGTACGGGTGAGCATTGGGCGTGGGGAAGGGACCATCAACAGGATTCCGCGTTGAGGCAACGGACAAAGACGTGTAGGACTCCGTGACAGAGACAAACGTGTTTTCTTGTTTTGTTGGGAAGGGGAGAGGAGGATAACGTGGAGATGCGTAAGGCTAAGGTAAGGGTGACGGACAAAGACATGGTTGTTTCCTTACGATTTTTGGGGTAATGTATGTACAGGATGTGCGTGAAGAGGAATGACCATGAGGGATGACGATGGACCCCCGATGAACAGAGTGTCCGGCGAACGATCGATTTCGACACTGCCGTGTTGGTTGCGCCACGAAACGCCTCTTGGCTTTGGCGAAGGAGAAAAGCAACGCGGTTGGAAGGACGGATGGGGGTGTACTCATACTCATAGTCGTGCATGCCGAAGTCGTTAGACCATTGACCTCGCATCCCTACAAAGCCGGGACGGAGCACGCCGGGTTCTCACCGGACCAGGCTCTCACATCACCAAGCGCGAAGCGCCGTGAGATATTCGGCGAGTCGCATGAAGGGTGCGCTGCATCCTGCTAAGGGTTTTCGGCATCTTGTGCTTACTTCCTTGCGTACGGATGACAGCTGCGTATGAATTAATTTATTTTCTGGTGCTTTCACTTTCAGAGACAGTTGTAAGCACTGTGTAACTGCCTCGAGGGTGCTTAACCATTTTAACACAACGTGGTGCGATCATCCCCCTTGCGCGGAGCGGGTTCTCCACCCCCCACAACATGATCTACTCGACCACCATTATGGTTACCGCCAAAAAAAAAAAACAGAGGAAAAAAAAAAACCGGTAACCTGGTTGCCGAGGTCACGAAGTGAATTGGCTTGTTTTACAACGTCGTTGCCAAGCGACGAAAACCCAATCCCGATGGCAAACACCGAGGGGGGGGACGGATGGAACGATAAATTAGCACACTACCCTAACCTTGACAGATGTGTATGTACACGAACCAGCGGATTGATGCAAAAAGGACAACCCGAAAACAGACGTCATTGTGGTGTCGAATGCTTCCTGATTGTCGGCCAAGACCATAAGACTTCGGGGGTGATCGAGAGCAATCTGTGCAAGCTGACACCGGCCGAAAACAACGCCCGCGTCGCTTCCCTCCACGTCTCAGTCGACCACCACCCGACAAGCAGTGGCAGTCAAACTCAAGCGGTAGCAGCACGTTTGGAAGAGAGCCGTCGTAATACGATTTTTCATCAAAACGGCCAACGGAGTAGGATTGTGCCAGTGACAGTGCTTCAATACAGAACCCCCATAGGAGGGTACGCTTTTTTCTGCCATCATCACCATCATCACCATCATCACGACAGTGACCACCACCACGGTATTGTAACCCGATCGACCGCTCTGGTTTGGTGTATTTTACTTTCACATTTACTATTCCGCCCATGAAAGCTGCTATGACAGGAAGACCGTGGTTGCATAAATCGTTCAGGAATTCGAAAGCTGTGTCTCCATTCGCCCTTGCTTTGAAACTAAATTCACCGAGAGCGATACCCACGGCCCAGCAAAAAACCTCGAGCGGTTAGCCTTCATCCTCCATAAGCTTCGGCCTTCCTTCCCCACCTGCATTCAAGAACCCTTCTATCCCATCACCGCAACAATCGTCATTGCCATGGTATGCATACGATCTTCTCACCTCTCCTTGATCTTGGCATCAACCTCTGCTTGGGAAAACTTAGCCCTGTGGTCTTCGTGCCCATAGGCCTCCGCCATCCCAAGTTCCAGCTGCGTCCCCTGGCGCCTGAGCTCGCGATGGCGGAAGTATTGCCGCACACCCAAGCACAGGACGCCGGACCGTCGAGAAGGGTTGCGTGTCGATGTGCAATTGTTGAAGAGAAACCCACACGTGCGGACAATGTTGAAGATGATACGGCTACCGTATATGACACAAGATAACACACCCCCTGGACGGATTTTCAAAGCTCTATTACTCCACGACGAAGAGGATGCATAAACGAAATGATACATTTTCGAACAGCAATGAACGAGACGGTTTCAACGCCGCCGTTTTTCGGCGCTGTGACTGTTCCTGCATTTGAGAAATCGAGCTTCGACAATCGGTCAAGGGGGTGTGTTATCTTGTGTCATATACGGTATTCCGTGCACCCCTTCCAGCGTCTTGAAACGGCAACCCGCGCACACGAACTATGGTACAGTAGGCCTCCCTTCCTACAAAAGGTAAAACTATGGTTGGTTCCCCTCCCCTTTGCTCACCTGTTTCGCCTCCTGCCCAGACCCATCAAACCACGCGCCCCCCCTGCCTGCGACTGGGCCTCGTCTCGAGCAGCACTCTTCTCCTTGCCGTCGTGGGCATCGGCTTCACCTCCTGACCGTTCGGGGGTGTGCGTCGCGGTAGCAGCCTGCGTAGCGGTAGCTTCATCACCAGGGGCGGCGGCACCACCATCGACATCGGCTTCTTCGCCTGGGACCACCCGAACGAGAATTGGAGCAACAGAAGCAAGTACAGGTTGGGAGAGGAGGAGCTTCAGGAACCCGACAAAAAAAAAAAAGGAAACTGTATGCAGAGAATGTACACACGCGCACTGTCAAGGAACTTATGTCGGGAGAACTTGATGCTTGAACTACTGCCTGTCGCCATCGTAAGAGCAATCCGAGTCATCCGAGTCGAGTCGTAAGAGGTCTTGTCATGCTCAGGACTAGCAGCGTTACTTTTGCAATGCTACTGTCAGGAAGGACTGCTGCAACGGCTGTCGTGGAATGTACTGTACCCTAAATTCAAAATACAGCGCTGGCGTCGCGTCGAAAGCCAAGCGTGAAATAGCGTTCGGCGGACGGGATCCCGGCTATGGTTCGACAGTCAATAGAGCAGTGTCCTGCACACGTCAACACACAACAGTTCTGGAAACCTGAACGAACAATATATGTTCACGAACTGCATTGACGGGCGAGTTTGATTCCCTAAGCATGGAAAAAATCAGGCCAGGGCAACCTTCAACGACTGACCTGCTGTGTAGGGTGACCTTTCCTGCCGCAGTGTGCAGAGAAAGCATGCGTCCAAGGTGGAATGTTTATCGCCAAATGCACTGTTGACCAAGGATTGTGCAACCGCACTTCCCGCCGGTGACACAAGATACGACACCCCCCCGGACCAATTCTCAAAGCTCCACTACACACGACGAATAGGATGCATACCTGACACGATACGTTATCGGACAAGTTCTTTCTCGACGAGACGGCTTCGATGCCGCCGTTGGCCACTCTTTCTGCTGTGTACAAACTTGAGCTTTGAAAATCGAACTCCTGCTAGATGTCACCTACGCATACGTCGTGCGAGTTCACCTTTTTGGGACGGGGCTGAGTTCGCCGCGACAGTCATCCCTCTGGGCTCAACGTCTCTGTTGACATCGGCAACCTTCGCCGTAGCCACAGCAGCCTCCAGCGCTGCCGCGGGGCTATCCGCTTCGACCACCGACAGTAGAGACATCGGTGTAGCAGATGACGCGCGGGCGCTGCTTGCGGTTGCGGCAGCCAGAGTGACCGATGTCGACGGGGCAGCGGCCAGAGACGATGAAATGCCTTCGCCGTTGCTGTTACGGTTGCTGTTGGTTTCGTTCACCGGAGACGTTGGTTGCTCTGCTGCTTGCTCTGACTCTGAAGCTTGCTCCTTTGATGAGAACGGGTCGACGTCTTTGTCGCCTGAGTCTGACTCGGAGTCGGAGGCCAGGACGTGTTCGACCTGCCGTGGGACGTTTCGAAAAAAAGCAGAAGGCACGAAAACGAGAAGTACGTCAGTCAGTGGTGGACGAGTTGGCCACGAGATCAACATGCGTCGGCGGCAATAGTGTTGTTGTGACAAAGAACACGACAACCACAAACACCATGAACTGTTTTAGAGATAGAGCAGTAGTCTATACAGCAGTAGTCTAGGTGGCCCGATACAGTGGCAGCTTGAATAGTGGAGCTATCGATACATATATATATAGATATGTATATATACCATCTCTGGCGCCGCCTGCTTACTCCTCTTCGGTGCACACTACAATATGCGTTTGCCGCGTGTGTGCACGTACACTTCTCAGCGTACTCGATACACTACAACTAGCTAGACGCACCGTCCGGGGTCACACAGGACCGATAAATAGTGGCATCAATATTGCCTGTCACAAGCTCAACATGTACATGCATGATACATGAACCCAATATTTCGAATAGTGGTATATTCTCCTCGTGCCCTTACATGCCGCTATCGGGCCTACTGTACAAATTATTGCGGTGGTTTCCCTATCCGGGTGGGACCGTCTCGCTACAAGGCGGGGACTTTGGGCACGAAACACGAAATATTGAAAGACGTAAAAACCAAAGCCTCTAAATAATGCAGGAAGAAATCGGACCAGAAGGGAACAACCACACTTTTCCCTCTCTCTAGCTGAGGATGCACACTATCTGTTGGCAACAATATGAATTGGGCACATACGGGTAACATCCGGGTGGGACCGAGGTGCACGGAGGTGCGTCCCGAAAGCACGGTGCCACAGACAGGCAGAGGGGCTAAACTGTGCTGTGGGGCACCTTGCGCGTATCCTCCGACGGGATGTGCAATACCGTTGTACAAGTTACCAAAGAATCTGACATCGTGACCCTACCACGCCCACGAAAAAAGCCCAAAAAAACGACCACTCTGCAAAAGAGTCAATCACCTCTCAAGCAAGACAACAAAAGCACAAGGTCAAGCCTCACCCTTCCCATTGCCTCTTTGCCCCTCGGGGAGAGGCGTGGTTGGTCCGATGGTTCCCGTCTCACCTCCGAGCTGCACTCGAAGAATCGGTCCTTCGACAGCCTTCGCCCGCTCGATGCCCGCCTCGCCGCCGCCGCCGATCTCTCCCCCAAGAACACATCCATACCCCCACATGCAGCACCACCAGTAGCTGTGTCGTTGCTGTCCCTTGGGATGCTGCTGCTGCTGTTGCTGCTGACACCCGCGGCAACGGCAGTGCTGCCAGCCACCGGCGGCTTACAGGTCCCGCCGCAAATAGCGGCAGCGGCGGCATCCCCCTCCTCGTATTCCACCAGTCCTTCCTCTTCCTCTTCATGGGCCGATTCGTCTCCAGACAGTAGGTCGTCATTGCCGTCAGCCGCTCCGGTGTTGCCGTGCTTGCCGCCGTCGCCCATGCCGGCACCTGCAGAACTGGGGATCTCGTTGTCCGCCGGTGGCGCCAGTTCCGCCGCTGCTGCCGGCTCGGACGTTGCTGCCGGCTCCACCGTCGTTTCCACCAACGGCGGCACGCCGGCAGCAGCCGCGGTAGCCTCGTCGTCGAGCTCGCCCACCAACGCCGCCGTAGTCCCGCTCTTACCGCCGGCGGCGGCGGTGGCGGCATCTTCCTGTTGCTTTTTTCTTGGCGATAGCGGGGAGAACACGGCCCGGGCCATCCTGAACCCCCAGCCCTTCTTACTCCCCGCGCTCTTAGCGCTCGCCGCCGCTGGGGTCTCACCACCCGCCGCCGTTTCAGACGCTCCGCCGCTTGACTCGCCGGGCTGTTTGTGAACAGCGGCGTCGCGCTCGTCTGCTGGAGCAGACGGCATCGCGGTCACATCCGCCTTCTTCACGCTGGGCGGCACATCACGAGCGGCGGAGTCGGGCACCGGCGGCGCGGCGGGAGAATCGACACCGGCAACGGCTGGCTTCGGGGGCATCACCGCGGCCTCCTGTAGACCTTCACCTTCGACTGCGGGGGCGGGGGTCCAGGTTGGCAGCGCACCATCGGGGTCGTCCCTCGCAACATCCCTGCTGGCCCCGCCAGCCAGCGGGCTCCGCGCCAGAGCGCCACCACCGCTTGGAGGAGGAATGCCACTAGCGGTGGGAGAGCTCGGGATACCGCCCCCGCCAGCCACCTGCCGCAGGTCATTGATGCCGAAGACTGCGGCGGCCATGTCGCAGTCCGGGCACTTGCAGGTAGAGTCCCGCTTGCAGACGATACTCGTACCCGCCGTGAGGCTTTCCAGCGGCGAGCGCACCACCGTCGAGCCCGCGGCGGCGACTGTGGCTTTCTTGGTGACGCTGCCGACGGGGGGCGAGGAGGCAGTATGCGCGTTCTCTTTTTCGCCGCTGCCTCGGTCGTGTAGAGGAGGATGCTGAGGCCCAACCGGAGAAAAGGCCAAGTTCGGCATGTTTTGGAACGGCTCCCAAATGGTGTCGGAGTTCGATCTCGTGCCCGCTGCCTCAAAAACCTGACGGAAGGTAAGGCATCGATCCGGGGGCAAAAGGGGGATGGAAACGAGGCGGTCCTCGCCGCTTAGCCGAAGGGTGGTTGGTGTCCACAGACAGAACGTTGTTATGCGAGGTGTGCAATCAAGTACAGAAAGAACAATGTAGTCTAGGACGCTGCGAGAGAGGAGCGTCATATCGGCCTTAAGGACTCGTGTTAGAGTTGTTCTGCTGCCTTTGAGCTCAGCCCCACAACATTATTTTACACTGGGGGGCTCGATGACATCAAACACACGGCGCGTGATAGGAGAGGGAGCGCGGCAGGGATCCCAATCAAAAAGGGCAAATACCTGGGAGGCGAAAACCAGCTCAAATCTATTCTGCTTCCATGGCTTAGCTGCACACCAAGCATTTCGTATGAAGCTCCTCAGACAAAATCTGGCATACTGCTGTACTATCGAGGACCCATGTAGGCTGATGGGGAGCTGGAGAATACAGAATGCAACGATGAATGGGGAGGGCTGTGGGTGCTTACAGGTATCAGCAACCATGCTTTCTTTCTCGCTCTGTCTCCCTCTCAATTCCAAAGTTTCGAGAGAGAGATTCCACCGCAGCAAGAAAGTTGCGTGTGCATACTTACACGAATATCTCGACAAGTGCCCCCTCTAACAGATGATAGTCTCTGACACACCGCAGCTGGATATCAAGAGCGAGAGTCAAGAGGGAAAGAGGGCAGGTTGCGTTGCTGACAAATATGATGTGATATGGACGAGTATACAGCACTGCTGTGGTCTAATGCTTTAGATGGCGAGTTGTGTCTTGCCTGCCTTGCTGTCTGCGGAAATACGGAGCAACAGAGGCAGCGAGAGAATAACGGGCTAGATGGTACTATCTTTCGTTCCAGGATCAGCCACTCTCACTACTCTAGCTCGCATTGCGGTGTCGCTCTCTCGGACGCCAGGCCTCTTCCCCTTGCGCAACATCAACACACGAACCTGGGATATGGCTTCTTCGATTGCAAGCGAATTACGTGCCAGGCCCGTCCAAATACTCAGCCACAGCTCCGCTATGTGCGTGCTTCCCTTCTCTCTCTGTCTTTCCCCTCTTCCGCTCTCTGGCTCGCCTGGGGTAAAGCAAGCTTCTGCGTGCTGCGTTGTGATTGTGAACAACACACCAACGGTCAAATTTTTCCCGCCGGCGGGGGAAACGCGATTGAGATCCAAAGGTAGACGGTAGAGGTTGACAAAAAATGTTACAAATGAGGGGAGGGGGGGGGGCTACCCGCTGATATCCTGAAGGCGGGTCGTCCACACCTACAGCTGGCCATGTCTACTTCCGGCGTCATCAACACTCCAAATGATGATGCATGGTAAGAGAGTGTGGACTCCATAGACTTTTTGAGGAGCCGAAACATGCATTTTGCCTCGTGATGATGGTATCCTCATTGATTGTTTCCCGATCACGCCAACGGGGCTGATTGCGGCAAGCCGGTCTGCGCCGATATTCAATCGTTTGCCGAGTCAACATTCAGTGGTATCGGGCCTGAGCTCTTTCGATCTTTTGGAGTGGGGCTCCGAAGTCGATACTCTATTCGGAATACAGTGCCGGCCCGCACTTAAGAACCTCCTATATTGGGCGAGGCTCAGTTCTTATTGGCTACCCCAGCCCGAGCACCAGTTCTGATTTGCCAAGTTCTCATTTCGTCGGCCATTCTTCTCCAGGAAGGGGCGTTCTTGTCCTTACAGTATTTTAACACCATTTGCTATATTGTCGGCTGTCAACCATGAGCAACACTAGTACTGCTGTCGATACAAGAAAATACAAGGCATGGAGCAGCAACTGTCAACCTTCTTGATACACAAGGGTGACGTTGGTCCTGCGTACCCTTCCTGATCTACTAATAATGCTCTCAAGCAAAACCGAGGAGCCTACAGCCGCATCCGAATCTCCGCCGCACTTGTCCAAGGGCAACTTCATCTTGCGCGTGCGCGTACTCTGGTCTAGCTCCAGCTGCACACATTAGTCGTACAGGTGGCGAGTGTCCTTCTGAGATTGTTGAGTGATCAGCCCTCCAAACCACTCCATGCCCAGCCTTCACGTGTGCTTTGATTGTCTCGAAGTGACTGTCAAGAATCAAACCCCTTTGTTTCAACTCTGTAAGTTTGCCAAGCTCTTTCCATCTAGGGATTCCACCTAAAAAATGTACAAAAAAAACGTGTTTGGAAAAACGCGGTTCAGAAATTGACGGTTGAAAAATCGTGTTTCGCTGTCTCCCCGCTAGTGCCGGTTGGAACCCACCCCCGTGCTCTCGATATTTTTTCGGTCATCAGGCCCTTGTTTATGGTTTCCAAATCTTTATATCTTCCTTTCTTTCGACAAATGTTGACTTTTTGGACCTTTTGGGCAGTCTGCCTCCCGAACGAGTGCGAATCAGCTGTTCGACCTTTGAGAACAGTCACAGCTTTGGCTGAAATGTCTACAGATCGCCTACATGTCTCGCCAGGGTTCACGTTTGATCTTTTTCCAGCAGAGCAAGATGTTGAAGATTCGGCCAAAGGCCGCCTCGGAGCAAATCTTGGGCCAAGATCTGTCCAAAAGCTGGTGTCGGAAAATTCTTGCGTGAAAATTGCGCACCTTGACAAAATCAAACGTGGACCCTGGCGAAACATGCAGGCGATCTGTAGACATTTCAGCTAAAGCTGTGGCTGTTCTCAAAGGTCGAACAGCTGATTCGCACTCGTTCGGGAGGCAGACTGCCCAAAAGGTCGAAAAAGTCAACATTTGTCGAAAGAAGGGAAGATAAAGATTTGGAAACCATAAAAAAGGGCTCTGTACCCCCTCTTTGTTTATAAATTTCCGCAAAACACGGTACACGCGGCGGCGTGATTTGGCGTGATGTTGGCACGCGCGTTGACGTCCTGAAGCAAATGGCGCGACTACAGCGTGGAAAGATTCGGCATGGGAGTCATGGCAAAATCGTGCAGATGATTACGGCGGCTCTGCCGTGTGCGGTGGCTGGAGAAGAGGAGCTTTTCCTCGTCCTGGCGGTAGTGGCAATGCGGCAACTCCAATGCGTCCCCAACTGTAACCACGCTCCCAACTCGAACCACGCCGCCGGGTGAACTGCTCTAACCCTGACTTCCAACCACTTGACCGCTGGTGTGACTGATGACTCGCTACCTCCCTCAAGGGGCGGGGATGAACACGAAGTCCGCCGTAGGAGAGGCGGCTACCGCTGTCACTGGTGCGGGTGAAAAGCTGTCCCAACCACGCCCACCACGCATGCCCCCAGCACGTTCTTTTAAACACAAACGTTCACCGGAAATGACCTCAACGCGTGCCGATTCCACACCAGTTGCCTCAGGGATTGTTAACTATGCTCTCGGAGTACGTGTCGTGCGGTAAGTAAGGTGGATGTGTGCGTGTGCGCGCATGAAGTTTGTTTTGTTCAAACGCGGAAAAAAAACGAACCAAATGGAAAAAAAAACAGACGAGCTGGACTGCAGAAATTCGTACGAAAAGGCGCGGCGGAACCTCGAAACACGTTTTTTTCGTGCGCTTTTTCCGAGGTGGAATCCGTTTAATATCCCATGGGATAAGGAATTGCACTGGGACATGATCCCCCTACACCGCAGGCAGCTCGTGGCACGCTGCACGTTGCGTGGCACGCACGCCTTTCTCGGGGGCACCCAGGGGCACGACGCGACGCGCGTGCGTACAATGCCCACCCTCACCCTCTAAAAAACTACAAATATTGATATGTGGGGTATGTACCCCTCCCAAATCCAATACTCTCTACTCTGGGATCACTCCCCCCTCTTCNGGGCCGGCACTGTATACCGAGAGCCGCGAGACAGGGTTCTTGAGCTCCGTGGACAACTACGTCGAATGGGCTACATGTTCTCGTGATGATGTCCAGATGCTTAGACTAGTCCATTATATGCTTAGTCTGCAGCAGTTCCGTCACTGTGTGTGTTTTCGTCCTATTTATTATGGCGACAGTCCCCCCATTTTTCGTCGTGAGACGTGTACTACACTTTCCAGCGTACGTAGAGTACGACACTTTTCACTGTATTTCGTACAACTACAACCATCCAGGGTCACACAGGAGGGGGTAACCACCAGGGCTTCTTCTTTTTATTTCTGTTCATGCCCCACCTTCCTCCTGGNTATTATGGCGACAGTCCCCCCATTTTTCGTCGTGAGACGTGTACTACACTTTCCAGCGTACGTAGAGTACGACACTTTTCACTGTATTTCGTACAACTACAACCATCCAGGGTCACACAGGAGGGGGTAACCACCAGGGCTTCTTCTTTTTATTTCTGTTCATGCCCCACCTTCCTCCTGGGGTGCGTGCTGAATTTTTATTTTTATCGCGAGAAGGGTCCAGCCGTCCCTTTCCCTCGTCAACGGTGCTAACGTCGAAGTTTGGTACTCACGAGAGCTTCTCAGCCATATTTCGCTTTCACTCGCAAATGTCGCAAATTTTTCACCCCATGGGGATTCGAATTCACGACCTCTGCCACTAGCGGATTACGAGGATACCACTAGACCACCGAGGCGATCGGACTTGGGAGTTTCGGAACACGGTTCGACACTTGTCGATTCAGGTGAAACTTTTCGATTTAGTAGAAGGGTCCAGTTCTGGAAACGTCCCCCAAAACGGAGGAACATCGAGCTCCTAAATCTGGAAAGGATCTTTCAGATTTAGAAAATTGAGTCCCGGCGCCGCTTTTTCTAAATCGAAATCGCTTTCAGGAGATGATGTAGATTTAGGAGGAGGAAAGAGACTCACCGCTACACACAACAGCAGTATGTAGCAGCAGTAGTTGGAAAGCCTGGAACTCCAGGCACCACGGAAGGTGCTGTTGTGGACTCCATCGCTGCCAACGAAGGTCAGACCTACACCTATCTGGGGGATGGTTGCTCTGCGTGCGTGCGTGCGTGCTGTGTTGTGATCATCTGTCTGTTTTGTAGCTGCTGCTGCTGGGTTGTTGCTGGGCGAGAGAAGAAGCAACAGGGAGAAACGAGGAAGGTCAAATTTGTCTACAGTATTTACACACGGCTCGGCGATGTGCTCTACTTTATCTAAACGGGGTGTAGTGTGTGTGCGTCTCCTCTCTTCTTGTTTGCTGCTTAGGATGCTCCCTCTCCCGCTCTCTCCTCTCTTCTTGCGGAAAAGGCTCTGCCTCTCGTTCGCACACCGCAACAAAAAAGAGGAGTGAAGCTCCTTGAACACCTCTCTCCTCACAGATGGCACTGACTGATGGTGTAGCCCCTCGACTACATGCATGCGTGGTCTGTGTCATCCTCATCAACCTGCACACCGCCGCGCCTGCCGATGTTGTTGTTGTTGTTGTTTCTCACATAGGCTCTGTAGTCCACAATAAATGGGGAGCCCGTGGTCTCAAAACCCGGCACATGCGACGCCGCGGGAAAAAAACAAAAATAGGTTACAAACCACTCGGAAAAAGAAAACAAAATGATAGAAAGAAAAGAACAGGTATCGCACCGACCGTTCGAGAAAAGAGTCCTCGGAAACCGATCAATATAGAACAAAAACAAAAAAACAGGAGGACGCTTCCCACACCCGCCCAAGAAAAAAAAAAAGGGTAACGTACCAGAAGCAGGCACTACGCACCAGGGCATGGGAGTAACGGAGCAAACAGGACAAAGAGGCGGCAGATGGGCAGACAGCCAGACATACAAAAACAAAGGCAAGAGCAAAGCGAGGTCAAGGTACCCAACACAGCAGAGTAGGCAGGGAGGGCATGAAAAACAGAAACCGTACAGAGGCCGAAGGCAATACAAAGGACATACATAAAGGAGTATTGCATACAGCAGGGAGGGAACAGGGCGTAACAGCTTCAGCCGGGTACATAGTTCGCCACAAGTGCTGCCTCGGCCGCCCTACTCGCTTCTACAGCAGTGCCCG